CGGCCGGTCCCCGGCACGCCGGCCCGGCCCGCGCCGCGCTCGCCCATCGCCGCCACGGCCGCGCAACGACCCCTGCTGCCCCCGGCAGGCCCGCCCCCGCCGCTTTCAGCCAATCACAGCGCGCCGCTGCCGCCGCTCCGCGGCGCTATTGGCGAACAGCGCCGCCAGTCACAGGGGGATTCGGGGATTTCCAGCCCATCGTGGTTGTACGAGCGGCAGGGCAGGGGACGGGGGGCGGGGAAGGGGCGGGGGGCGGGGCACTCCGCGAGAAGGACGCTGATTGGTCACGCGGAGCTCGGAGGCGGGACGTCGGGGCTACGGCGGCGCTGATTGGGTGGAACTGGCGTGCCCCCGAGGGCGGGGCGGGCACTCGCGGGGTCGGGGTGGCCCCGCCCATCCCGTCCAGTCCCTCAGGGCCGGACCTGGACCCGGACTTGGACCTAGACCTGGACCTGGACCAGCCCCTGCTCCGGGGCTCCGCTGTCCGCGGGCCCGTCCCCGCCACCCCTTCTTGGGAAGGACTCGCGTCCTGCGTCCAGCTCCTTGTCCTGAGCGAGACTCGCCGTCCCCGGCGCGGCAGCACGTGGGGACGGGAGGAAGGGGCTCCTCGGGGCCCGGTACGGTCACAAACCTGGCCAGGCGCGGAACTACCCACTGAATTAATGAATTGTCCTTCCGTGCGCACTGGGGAAGAGGGCGGGAGGGATTTTAGCCGTGCGGTTTCCCCACTGCACAGCCTTTACAGGCGCAGGGTAATTCCGAGCTCGCTGGGGAAGCAGCGGCCGCGGAGTTCGTGAATGTCAGGCTTGGCCTGGCTTCAGTACCCAGTTTTGAAATATTTTTTACTTTCAAGAAATGTAAGTAATACTGCTGAATATTTGATTTAATAAAAGCCAAATGAAGCTCCTCTTTAACCGACCTGCTTTTGATTGTGACTGTCGTCTGAACGCTGCGCAGTTTCATCCACTTCACATCGCTGTTGTTTATATATAGTGAGCTCTGCTTAAATAAAGAATGACAGAATGAACTCTGGGATAGAAGGGAGTTGCTCAGCGGGACGGTTGTGTTTACAAACTATTCACACATTTCCAGAAAGCAATATTTGTTTTTAGAGAAGATTTTGTTAATTAATTTTTTTTAATGCTTTTCTTTTTTCTTTTTTCTTTTTTTTTTTAAATAATGTGGTATTTTAAACCGGTGCTTTAAATTTCATTTAAAAAATATTTCTGAAGTTTTGCCTTGCGAGAAATCGACATCTTCGAAAAATGCAGTATATAATCCTATACCTAAAGTGGTTACAGTAATATTGACATACAAATAAACACTTTCCTGGTTTCTTAGCACCTGTAACATTCCTGTAATACATGTTTTTTATGTAATTTAGTAACATATGCACTTCAACATTAGCTGAAGGCTGTTCCAGTTAATCCTGTTCCCTATAGCTCTCCAGAATCCAGAGACACAGTCAGTAAGCAGACCCAGTGCAGCCTGAAATCTAAGCTCTGGAGCCCTGTGTGTCACTGCCGAGGTTTTTGCTAGGAAGATGGGAAGGTAGGACACAAGGTTTTATTGGTCTGGATACGTGCCAGATGGAAAGGACACAGACACCAGCAGGAGTTTATTGGAAACTCCTGAGGAAACACTGAGAGTCCATCTACTATGGAATGAATGCTCACACTAATCATTTCACTAGTCACTTACAAGCAGAACTGCATTTCAAAGTGTCATTTAATTTTTAAAGAATCTTGAAAATACATACTAAGATTTATGCCTTACATTTCTTCATTTTGCAGGAGAGCTCCCAGTAACCCCAGCCATGCTCAGCTGATCCTCAAGGTGGCTATCTATACACAGCTGCTGCAGCCCTCCACTTGGAGAGCTGCCTTTTATGCTACTACAACGTGCATTAGCATGTCTGCTATAAACCCTGTTATCCCAAATTTCATTATGTTTACGTTTTGGGTATAGATAAATCACATGGGGAACATGACGATAAGTATTAGCCAAAGTACACTATAATTATATGTGAGAAGAAAAGGGGACAGACACAACATGAGCAGAAAATATCAAAATACTTGATAGGAATGACTACATGTAGTGTTCCTAATAACTCACAACCAAATGTTTAAAAATATTCTGTGTTCCATGTAATTATATACTTAACCCTCTATGAATCCATCAGGAAAAATGACCAGCATGACCCATTTAGAAGGTCTGTCGTTCTCCAGACAGAACAGTGCTTGTGACATTTAACCCAAGTTAATATCCCATTGACCCACTGGCTTGCGCACAGCTCCATGTCACTGACACACCACAGATGAAAGGCAGGCCAAGACTGGTGTTTACTCTAAAGCCCCTTCATACTCCTTCAGAAGTATAAAGGAGTTGTAAAGTGATAACAGGACTTTGGCAGTGTAAAACGGGCCTGGTACGTCTCTTTCATGTTGAAAACCCTGTCAGTAACACCAGCATGAGATATTTTTCATTAAACAGTGAATGATTTCTTTAAACCACACTCTTGTTAAGAGAGACATGTTTTGTAATAATGAAGTATGGTAAACAAATTCCACTTTCAAATGACACAACACAACACGATTAAATATTATATCATAGCATGGTACAAAGTTTTGTGCTGAGCCAGGATAGGAATATGGTATTCATTTATCACAGCATCACCCCAAAAGTGCAGAATATTCATGCAAAACAGCTGAATTTTTTCTGCTAATTCAAACATGGAAATGTTGGTATTTATCCAGCTGCATTTAAGAAAAAGAGAGGAGAGGTTCTTGTAGAAGCATCAAAGACAATATTACCACACTTTCTAAATATTAGTTATGTGATAAAAAGGGACTTGGATAAATATGTTAGGTATTTCTGCTTCCCGCTGGTTTTTGGTGTTTGTTTTTTTGTGTGTGTGTTTTTTTTTCTTTCTCTCACTACCTACAGTTCTAATGAATGATTTAGTAAAATAAATAAGGTTTAGTTACATAGTTTGGGGCCTGAGATGGAAAAGCAGCACAGACTATGAAGTTGCCTGAAGCTGTACTTCTTAGGACAGAAGCTGAAGAGTATTTTGTAATAGGGCTAATACAGCCACATTCTTTAACAAGAATAAGACCTTACTGTGCCTATAATGAAATGCCAATAAAATCTGCCAGAAAATTGCAGTTCATAGATGACATTGGTTTATCTCTCAATTTTTCAAGCTGATACCAGCTTTGTAGTCTATGGTTGAATACTGTATCTGTCTGGGTTTGTGTAATCTATCTGATTGGAAAAATGGGAACTGCCCAAAATGGAGTATAAATCAAGGCAGAATGTTTGACACTATTACAGCAGTCTCTTCTGTTTTTTTAACTACCAAAAGCACCAACACAGTCTTTCAATAGTGGCAGGCATCCTTAACATGACATCACGCTGCTGGCTCATCTGGTGGCTAGTTGCCAACTTTTGGGCATAAACTTTCAGGTTATTCTTTCTAAAATGAATATTTTCATCTTAAATTGGTATGGAGGACCTAACTCCTATGACAACCACCTTTTATGCACTGCAGTGTTATGATTGATATGAACCTTGCCTCACTCCTACATTATTGCAGAGCACTTTTTTTCCATATCCCTTGGTAGATGCATTTTAACACTGTGTTCTTTATGTTTGATGAAGCCAGTGCTTTCACAGAATACAAACTCTATGTGAGCCAGTGCATGAGGATCCCTTTTCCATCCCTATAACAGAACATTCTTTTCCGTTAAAATTTACCACAGTTTTATGAGTATTCAGGTAAATGGATGGTGTTAAGTGCACTTGCCCATCTCTCAGAATGCTCTGCTGCCGTTGTGAAAATTTTCTTTTCGCCTGCTTGACCCTTTACACAGTATTTGACTATTGGAAGTGAAGCTGAGTATATAAAAAGAAAAATACGAATTATGCATTCTGCTAACAAACATCAGTGTATACTGTAGTGGGGTTTGCATGTGCTAATCAAGTAGACGTTTAGGAAAGTAAAATGCTGCCAGACTCACAACACTGGGTCCGGTGAAGGGTGAGGTGCTGTTCAGAACCAACCCGAGCTCCTGGGAGCGGGATGAGGAGCAGTAGCCTGCTAAACCTACTGTGGATGTCATGGCTCCTGGGCATGAGGAACACGTTCAGGAACCAGCTGTGACCATAAATGCTGGTTCAACAAGGGCAGGCAGAACTCTTGTAGAACATCCTTGATTTGTAAAGTAGTTCGTATCTATCAGCCGCGATCATAATAACAGATTTCACTTTTTTTTTAAATCATCCAGGTTAACTGGATTAGGACTTACTTATTCTGAAATAATTGAAAGTAGAGGTCATACTTAATATACTGAAAAAAGTACTTTTTTCTTTTAGCATTTAACAAGAGAAGGACAATAGCACTAAGCATCACAAAATAATACATTGCTTTTTGGCAACACATAA